AAACACCCTGAGAACTCGGCTGCGGAAACACCCCGAACCCCAGGGAGGGGGAGGATTAGGTGAGCATAAACTCAAACCTGTGTGTTCAAGTCTGGTTTTTCTGCCTCTGATATTGGCCAACAGGTGTGTTGTGAATTAAACAAACCTGGCTTCCAGGGAGGCTTCTTGCATGGGTCTTAGGACATTGGGAGCTGAGCCCCCTCCCTCAGGGTTCACAAACTTTGCCTGAGAGGAGCGGTGGGGGTGCAGAGACCCAGCACATATCTCAGGCGGGCTGAGCAGACTGCAAGACAAGCTTTGCTCGTATGGCCCTTTGATGAAAACCAGGCCCCACATGTTGATTTTTTTTTCTTTGACAGGCAGAGTGGACAGTGAGAGAGAGACAGAGAGAAAGGTCTTCCTTTGCCGTTGGTTCACCCTCCAATGGCCACTGCGGCCGGCATGCTGTGGCCGGCGCACCGCGCTGATCCGATGGCAGGAGCCAGGTGCTTCTCCTGGTCTCCCATGGGGTGCGGGGCCCAAGCACTTGGGCCATCCTCCACTGCACTCCCTGGCCACAGCAGAGAGCTGGCCTGGAAGAGGGGCAAGTGGACAGAATCCGGCGCCCCGACCGGGACTAGAACCTGGTGTGCCGGTGCCGCTAGGCAGAGGATTAGCCTAGTGAGCCACGGCACCGGCCTGTATTGCATTTTCAATTCCCCTTTCCCTCTCCTTTTTCTACTTGTTTCTTATAATTGGTTTGGGCTGGGAAACAAGAGCCCCACATGTGACTGAAGTTTCTGCACAGAGTCACTCCTGAGCAAGGGTACAGGTACTTGAAGGTAAGTGCTTGAGAAAAGTATGTACAATTTAAAATAAGGACTCAGTAAAATCTTACTTCTGAATGCTCCCCTCTCATATGATAATGTGTGCAAACTTCTGACCATAGTAAAGATGAAAGTGCTACACACACACACACACATCTCCAGATCGCAGCACCATTCACATGTGAGAAAAGTCACACTTGCTTCTTATACATAACATTCTCTGAGTGTGACTGTGGACCAGCTTCTGGGAGCCAGTCACGAAGGCAACAGCTCAGTCCCTGGATCAGGCCTACTGAATCGGTCTATGTGTTGAACAAGGTTCTCAGGTGATTCCCAGAGACATGAGGATAAAGCTGAGAAGCTGGACTCACAGAGAAAATCCAACTAACCTGCACCTGGGGCCCAAGGTGTGGTGCCAGAGCTGTTCTTTGCAGGGGGGGTCAGGCAGGCAGGAAGTGCAGGACGTTCTGTTTAAATAGTAGGCTGTGCAAAGGGTCACATGCTGGAGTTTTTTGTGGCTAAGGATAGTGAATGTTCAGGGAAGAAGGCAGTTGGGAGGATTATAAGTCAATTTTCCATGGGAGATCAATCTGTACATTTTTCAAGAGAGGAATTCCTAGGATTGAAAGCCCTTGCAATTCTCAAACTTAACAAAGCACCAGATGTGCAGGTCCCAGCCCTAGGGCAAGATCTGAAAGAAATGTAAGGTTCCTCAACTTTCAAGTGAGGCATTCATTTGGAAGGAGATAATCTTAGTTTCTCCCAGTTTGAAATACCTTTCTGATCTTGTTTTTCTTCTGATGCCCTCATTCTTTGCCCTATATAAACTCTTATCAACCTGAACACACATCTTACTCAGAAAAGTGAAATTCAACCAACAATGTTAACAGTCATACTGAAAAATTTGGATAAAACTAAACATATTTTTCTCTATTGTCTGAGTAATTTAGCAAAAAATGACTGTTACTGATTTTTCTGGATATGATTTGAAAGGGACTAATTTAAGAGATCAACATTTTTAAGTGTACAAGAATACTTCAAGAAGTTCATGGACGACCGGCGCTGTGGCCTAGTAGCCTAAGCCTCCACTTGTGGTGCTGGCATCCCACGTGGGTGCTGGTTTGTGTCCCAGCCGCTCCTCTTCCCATCCAGTTCTCTGCTGTGGCCTGGGAAACAGTGAAAGATGGCCCAAGTGCTTGGGTTCCTGCACCCAGAAGGAGATCCCCAGAAGCTCCTGGCTCTTGGTTTCTGATCACCCCAGCTCTTGCCATCATGGCTATCTTGGGAGTGAACCAGAGGAAGGAAGACCTTTCTCTCTGTCTCTCCATCTCGCTCTCTCTGTAACTTTACCTCTCAAATAAATAAATAAAATCTTTTAAAAAAAGTTCATGGAAAATAGAATTAAAAGATGTTTATTTTGGTGCAAAATTTACAAAATCCATGCATACTGGGAATCTTCAAAAAGTTCATGAAAATGTGTATTGTGAAAAGAAACTATGTGTGTATTTCAAACATTTTTGCATTACTTTTTTTTTTTTTTGGACAGGCAGAGTGGACAGTGAGAGAGAGAGACAGAGAGAAAGGTCTTCCTTTGCCGTTGGTTCACCCTCCAATGGCCGCCGCGGCCAGTGCGCTGTGGCCGGCACACCGCGCTGATCCGTTGGCAGGAGCCAGGTGCTTCTCCTGGTCTCCCATGGGGTGCAGGGCCCAAGCACTTGGGCCATCCTCCACTGCACTCCCGGGCCACAGCATAGAGCTGGCCTGGAAGAGGGGCAACCGGGAAAGAATCCGGTGCCCCAACCGGGACTAGAACCTGGTGTGCCGGTGCCGCAAGGCAGAGGATTAGCCTAGCGAGCCGCGGCGCCAGCCCAGCATTACTCTTTTTAATTTTCCGAAAAACTTTAAAAATTACTGACACATTAAAAATTGTACTGTGAAACAGTAGCTTAATCCTCCGCCTGTGGCACCGGCATCCCATATGGATGCCGGTTCTAGTCCTGGTTGCTCCTCTTCCAATCCAGCTCTCTGCTGTGTCCTGGGAAAGCAGTAGAAGATGGCTCTAGTCCTTGGGCCCCTGCAGCCACATGGGAGACCAGGAAAAAGCTCCTGGCTCCTGGCTTCAGATCAACACAGCTCCAGCTGTTGCAACCATTTGGGGAGTGAACCAAGGGAAGAAAGACCTTTCTCTCTGTCTCTCCCTCTCACTGTCTGTAACTCTACCTCTCAAATAAATAATTTTTAAATTATTTCTTAAAACTTTTTTAAAAAATTGTACACATATAGGGTACCGTGTGATGTTTCAGAATATGTTCGCTTATCCACAAACTTTTTAAAAGTTCTTATCTTTAATTTATTTGAGAGAAAAGACCCTTTCCAGTTGGAAACTCAACCCAGGTCTCCCATGTGGATGGCAGGAACTCAGCGACTCGAGGCGTCCCTGCTGCCTGTCAGAGTGCGCATTAGAATCAGGAACCAAGGTTGGGAGCTGGACCAGGCAGTCCACTGTGGGACATGGGCATCCTAATCAGGCTAGGTCAAACTTTTTAAAGTACCCTTTTATAATATGTCAGAGAAAGAGTACTTTAAAATTGGAAGAAAACAATTTTAGCAACACAACCATGGTTTTCAGTATAGCTTTAAAGCATAGCTTTATTATAGTTTCAATTTCACTTGAAAGTTAGGGTGATCAGGGATTCTTTCTCTTTGTATTTCTAGCACATAACATGTTAGGAAAAGACTTAATTAGTTGAATTTGACATGTTATTAGCCAAGCCAACATGGCATCCTACATGGAACCAGCCCCTTAAAAAAAAAAGCCATGTATTACATGGCATTTTTACTACACACAAAACAAACGTTTCTCTGGGAAGTGGGTGATCACTTATGGAGTAAGATGATTAGGGAGGGAGGAATATTCCAAGCTCATATGCTAAGGATCTTTTCCAGACAGTCCCATATTTCATTTTCAAAAATTGAGTTTCCTACCACTGGGTTGATTCACATTCCCAAACTCACAACAGGTTGACTTACTCCGTTAAGGCCTTCACATTTGCTCAGATGGAAAGTACACTTGAGCCAAGAAGAAGATTCCCACTCCCCAGGTCCTCAAGGCCACGTGGAGAATAAACAAAGTGAGCTACCTACATGGAACCAGCCCCTCCAGGAAAGCTACTCATTGCTGTCCAAAGACTGTGTCAGAGCTGGACTCAGAGAACCTCCGCTTTGCAACTCAGCATGGTCCCCTGGGTGCTCAGGACCCTGGAGGTAGACCCCAGTGTCAGATCAGTCAGATCATTCAGATTAAATCTCCCAAGCATAGATGGAGTAGATACTTAGAGACAGGACAACATTGTTCATCTGTTAGGCACCAAGGTGTAATGAGGCTGACACCTATGTCCTTTTCTCTTTTTTTGACAGGCAGAGTGGACACTGAGAGAGAGAGACAGAGAGAAAGGTCTTCCTTTTGCCGTTGGTTCACTCTCCAATGGCCGCCGCGGCCAGCACACTGCGCTGATCTGATGGCAGGAGCCAGGTACTTCTCCTGGTCTCCCATGGGGTGCAGGGCCCAAGCACTTGGGCCATCCTCCACTGCACTCCCTGGCCACAGCAGAGAGCTGGCCTGGAAGAGGGGCAACCGGGAGAGAATCCGGCGCCCCAACCGGGACTAGAACCCGGTGTGCCGGCGTCGCAAGGCGGAGGATTAGCCTATTGAGCCATGGCGCCAGCCTCTATGTCCTTTTCAACTGCCTACAAAGACACTTGAGATGTGCTAGAGAAGGAAAAAATGCAATGGCTCAAAAATTAATTATTAGTTTTCAATTTTATTAAGCACATTATATCACCCAATCAATGGAAATACTGCTAACATCAAATATACTTAATTTTTAAACTACATTTCATGTATGACATGGGTGTGGAGGCATGTCTGATAATAGGTATATCAGCACAGGTGATGAAAGTCTCCAACAGGCCTTGTCCAGATATACATTTGCTATCCCAGTTTCATTTCCCTAGCAACTCTGCAGAAAAAAATATATATAATACATATATTCTTTTTATTTTCATAATTAAGTTTAGTGGCTTAATTAACCACAAAGTTAAAACTAGTTTTCTCTATACATTGCAAATTTGGCAGCAAAATATTTTAACTATTCAGGCCAGTCCAACAAGAGTTTATAAGAATTCACCACTAACCTTAAGTCTTCTAGGCGCTGGTTGCTGGAGTGCTGCAGGGAGATTAAGTGAGGATTTATAACCCATTCTGTTCCTATTGAAAGCTCCACCCACTCTAAGGATTAGGCAATGTGCATGCAGGTTTGCACACACATCTCTGAGGCTTCACTTTATATCCACTGTTTGAATGTTTGATAATGCATCAAGTTACCCAAGGAAGAACATTTTCTGAGAACCCCTTTGTACCAGGCACTGTTTTAGGTTTTGAGTCTGCAAAGGTGGGCATCATAGACCCAATTCCTCTTACATTCATTCAAGCTGGGGGAGACAGGCAGTATAAATACACGAACAAATGGTTTGTTCAAGATAACAACAGCAACAATATATCAGGTGACTGTAACTTGTGGATAAGTGAATTGCATGGCAACAAAGGAACCGGGGGAACACTGTGTGTCTGAGTCCACTCTGTGCTGCTGCAATGGAACATCTGAGACTGGGTAATGTCTGAAGAACAGAGATTTATTTTTTACAGTTCTGGAAGTTGGTAAGTCCATGGTCAAGGGACCAGCATCTGGTGAGGGTCTTCTTGCTGCATCACCCCATGGCTGAAGGCAGAAGGGCAAGCGCCCACAGCAGACATGCATGCCTGAGAGTAGAAGTTGGGAGATGGATGCATTCTTCTTTTTAAATATATATTCATTTATTTGAAAGGCAGAAATGATGGAGAGGAGAAATAGAGACAAAGATATCTTCCTTTTGCTTGCTAACTTCCTAAATGGCTGCAGCAGCTACGTTTGGGCGAGGTGGAAGCCAGGAGCCTGGAACTCCATCCAGGTCTCCCACTTGGATAGCAGGGGCCCAAGCACTTGGGCCATCTTCCACTGCTTTCCTAGGTGCATGAGCAGGGAGCTGGATCAGAAGCAGAGCAACTGAGACTCCAACTGGTGCTCTGATACATGATGTCGGCATTAATCTGCAGCTCTACAACCCCAGACCCCAGCTGTCCTGTTGTATGCCAGATTCTGGAACCCCTGCAACCGTCCATTTATCCGTGGCCGTGCACTCTAGCCCAGTGGTTCATTTGTCACGCTGTTAGTCTATGGACCTGATGCCTTCCTCTGCTCCTCTTGCTCCCTGTCCCACGTGAAAGCAGTCCTGAATCTGGGTTCAGCACTGAGCATTCCAGCATGCTGATTTTATTTTAGGATAGACGACCCTGTCCCTGACCTCCTACTCCACGATCAAGTCTGGTGATTATGAACATGGGAGGGTAGTGGTGCTGAAGCCTGCACCCACAAAGCAATGTGATAAAGCAGGGTAATGCTACCTGAGGCAGGATGGGGGTGCAGGGGACTGGTTCCCTATGGGGAAGTGAGTCACACAATTCAAGGTCAGGCAACAGTGAACAGAGCAAAGGGAACTTTTCTTCACTGGAGCCTGGCCTTCATTTGTTTTGTCTTGTTTCTTTTTGTTTGTTTGTTTTTGTTTTTTGTTGTTGTTTTTTTCTCTGATCCTTTAATTCAGTGAGGAAACCAGCCTTCCAGCCTGGTTTGGTTTCCTCCAAGACAAGTATGGAGGGGCCTCTTGCAGCTGATTAAAACCCAAAAGGCAACACTTGCACAATGGCTTCAGGTTTTACAGGGCAATAGCACTTGATGGATAAAACACATCAAAATCAGAGCAAAATCACCCAAACTTGCTGCCATCCCACAAAACTCAGTACTACAGACTCCAGCATGTTGCTGTGTCAACGTCTGATTGCTAGGAGTCAGTCTCCAAATGAGTGTAAAACGTTTCTCCTCCCTGAAGAGCTCAGCGGCTGCAGTCCCCAAGGCCACCTTCTTTATGACACAGTAAATCCAAGCTGGTAGCGTTCCCTAAACCATGCTCAGGTCCGGTCAAAGGACAGACAGAACTTGCCGAAAGCTGTATACACACAGCTGTGGTTTATTACAGAGAAAGGCTACAGATGACAGTCAGCCCAGGGAGATTGATGAGGCTGGTCCAAACTGGGGGCTTCCAACGTCCTCCTTGTATGGAACCATGGGTTCTGTTCACTCCTCCTAGCAACAATGTGTGACAAGGCACATGGGGCGTCATCAGCCAGGGGAGCCTTGGTGTCTGGGAGTCTTACTGGGAGTCCATCACATAGGCATGGTTGACATCCAAGGGGCTGCTCTGTTTTCCCCATGTCCGGAGCTGAGCGAATCCAATGTGACCCAAAGATTTCCCCTCTATCACACTGTGGTGTGGTGCAAATGGTCAGGTGAGCAGGTAGGTGACCGAGGTCCCCCGGGCAAACAAAGATAAGACATTCCATGGGTTTCTAGAATGTTTCCCAGGGGCAAAGGCCATCTGTTTCTAGGGGCACTGCAAAATTCTTTACCACACACTGTCTCATTTCCTTCTTCCTGTGGGTTACCACACTCTGGGGCCTGGCTAGAATGGGGCCTCTCCCTCGGACTCAGCAGCCTGGGACTCCAGGCCTGCCCAGTGCCACACCTGCCACTAAGCCTTTGCTCCTACAGAAATTTTAAATGTCAGTGGGATGACGGAGTGTCACATTGCATCAGTATAAAGACGAATTCCACTGCGATGTTTGTGCTTGATTCTCCTCTAAAAAGGGCAGGAGCAGAGGGACACTTGCATGGATTGTGACAGGCACTAACGGTAGCTCACAGCTATATTCTTTTACTTTTGAGCCAAAGATCTTTCCTGTACTGAGGGATGAGTATCACTCTCTATGAGACTCTCTTCAAAGCTTGCCTTTCTCTGGTTTTAAAAATCCCTGCATAGTAACTACTTCAAAAGCAGTTTTGGGATGTTCTTTTCAAGAGTACAGGCTCTGCTCTGGGATGCTGCCTGGCATACAATGGGTGTTCAATCAGGACCTGAGATGGAAGTCAATATGTGTTTAAAAGCAACATTGAAAGACCATACATCTAGTTCTGAAATGCAAAAGATTAGAGGCCTATAAATAACATTCGGGTAGTAAGAGGATAAAAATAACATATGTTTGCATGTTGTTATATATATGTGAAATATAACTCGGAGGACACACAGGTTGAGTTCCTCTTCTCTGAAATGCTTGGGATCAGAAGTATTTTGGAACCCAGAGGTTTTGGGGTTTTGGAATAGTTGCCTGAAGATAATGAGATATCTCGGGGTGGGACCCAAGTGTAAACACAAAATTCATCTCATCTACACCTCACACACACAGCCTGAAACTAACTATATGCAGTTTTCAGTGCCCCTGCCTTTTGACTGCACCCTGTCACACAAGGTCGGATGTGGAATTTTCCAGTTGTGGCACTCAAAAGGTTTCAGATTTTGCAGCATTTCAGGTTTCATATTTTTGGATTAGGGATGCTCTGTCTGTGTAAGTATTACCTTTGCTTGCCTGTGAGAAACAGAACTGGGTGGCTGGGAGGCAGAGTCAAAGACTCTAAAGACTGGACAGCCCCTTTTATACTTTTGTGATTTCTGAACCATGGAAATGTATTCTGCAAAAATGTAATTAAAAAATTGTAGCAACAGGGTAATGATTGGCAAACTTTATTTGGCAAGTATCGATCATATTTATCACTACCATTTGACTTATGATAGCTCAGAGGAGAGGCATTCACAAAACTCTCTGTGGTTACTCAGCACCAAACACGAGGGAGAGACTGGAAGGGGATTAGAACAAGGTAGAGAGAGGAGCAGAGTGAAGACATGAGATCTGGTCATCCCCACCCACAGAATGGATTAGCTGCAGGAGATGAGTAGTACAATCATGTCTAACTCACACACCAGCCTCCCCAGAAAGGTTTCCCAACAAGTCCTGTAACAACTATTCACTAATAATAATAATAATAAAAAAAAAACAACAGATGAGGGGTATAGAAAAGAAGATCTCACTGATGCGAGAGACCCAACAATACACAGCACCAGGACAGAGCTGGGATCAGTTAAGACAGCCCGGGCACAGCCGTGGCTAGAGACAAGCTCTCACCCGCAAACAGGCCTGCCGTTTTAGGGCATGAAGATGCTGTACACGGTTCTCACGTAGATTTCGTCAGGGGGAGGCTTCTTCTTGCTGCCAGGTTCAAGGAATCTCTTGATTGTAGGGATATTGCTGATCTTCACCGTGTACTCCTGAAAATGGGAAGCCCTTATAAGTTCTAGGTTAACAGCAAGGCTATCCATTATGATGAAAATATGGCTGTTCAACAAATCTTTACTGCAAAGAGCCAAGCAGGACTGCGATGCAGCATCTGTCTAAGGTCTGGTCTCATGCTATGATTATTTACAGTCTCTGCCAGGAGCAGCTGCAACCAGCCGAGATCACAGTGTATCCAGCTCTCAGTTAACACAAAGGTGTGGGCTCTTTTCAGAGGCAGCAACAGAAGTCATACTTAATACTGGATGATTCTGACACTCACGAAAAGAGAAAAAAGGAAGAGGGAAAACAGAGGAAGTATGTCAGGTATACTGATCTGCCCAGAGAAAATGCAAGGAGTGATTAAAAAGAAAGCACTGCAAAAAATCATCAGATGGCACAATTTATATTTTAAGACTCAGCTTCCTTGGAAATTTTACTCCTATTAGCAAACAAATCTTCTTCCTAATGATGTATAGGTGATGGCCAGATGCATTTTATAGCTATGGCTTAGATACAAGATGTCTATGCAAAAAGGAAGAGAAAAATTATACTTTGCATTCATTGATAAAAGTCAAATCTTAGCATTTCTCAGTAACTGAGAAGAAAATCATTGGTTAAGTGAAAATTTTTAACTGTGAAGTATTATTCTAATAAAGTATTTTAACATGGAGAAGTCATTGATGAAAAATGCTGATACTTACTAAATACTCTTTATTAAATATTAAATACTGTACTCTTTACAGGGCATGGTCTTAATTCAGCTTATATACAAACACATTAACATGCACAGAAGCCTTAAAATTGAATGCCATACCAATATGAAGGAGCTTGTTCCAAAGGATGATTTATTGCTTCAAGATAACTTGAAGTTCATACTTATCATGAATGTATAATAAAACTTCCATGGCCAGCACCGCGGCTCACTAGGCTAATCCTTCGCCTTGCGGCGCTGGCACACCGTGTTCTAGTCCTGGTTAGGGCGCCGGATTCTGTCCCGGTTGCCCCCCTTCCAGGCCAGCTCTCTGCTATGGCCAGGGAGTGCAGTGGAGGATGGCCCAAGTGCTTGGGCCCTGCACCCCATGGGAGACCAGGAGAAGCACCTGGCTCCTGCCTTCGGATCAGCGTGGTGCGCCGGCCATGGCAGCCATTGGAGAGTGAACCAACGGCAAAAGGAAGACCTTTCTCTCTGTCTCTCTCTCTCACTGTCCACTCTGCTTGTCAAAAACAAACAAACAAACAAAAAAAAACTTCCATAACTTTGTTTTTTGTCCATAATCAGTACTGGACTAACTCTTTCACTCAAACAGATCTGGTGTCAGACTGAAGACCTTTACTATTAATGCTCAACCTGATCAGATTAAAATTGTACATGGATACTTGAAAGTTTGTGGAAAATATTAAAAATAAAAAACAAAATGATAGGAGGTGGACATTGTGGTGCAGCAACCTGAGCTAGCACTTGGGCCACCTGCATGTCAAATCATGGAGTCCTGGGATCGCGTGCCAGCTCCTCTGCTTCTGATATAGATTCCTGGTAATGCACACCCTGGGCTGCAGTAGTTGATGGTCCAAGTACTCGGGTTCCTGCCACCCACCTGGGAGACCTGAATGGTGTTTCTGGTTCCTGGCTCAGCCAGGCACAGCCCTAAATGTTTTAGGTATTTGAGGAGTGAGCCAGTGGATGGGAAATTGCTCGCTCTCTGTCACTCTGCCTTTCAAGTAAATACATAAATATTTTTTTAAAAAAAGCACAGATTTCAAAACTCTTTGGACCAAAACAAAAATATGTTTGAATTCCATTTTATCACAAGCTTTTTTGAAGTACCTTCATGTTCACAAAGATGTACCTTAGGGCTTAGAGACATCTATCTAGGTTAGCATTCTAGATAGAAAACATCAGTGGGTCCTGGTGTTATATTTATGAAAAGTGTTGATCTCTATTGTTTGCACTACACGTTTTAGATATTTGTGTAGTCAGTGAAAAGTCCTTTGCTGCCTGTGAGGTATGTGAGGATGTGAACACCAGAATGTACATGCATGCCTGGGAAGATTTCAGATTTGATGAGCTTAGCAAATTAACCTTCAGTTTCTCCCTGCAATCTGCCTACTTGTGAGGTCAGCATCCTACCTAGTTAGGGACAAAGGTACTTCTGCATACTTCTAATCAATGCATTTTCAAGAAGCCACAGAGCTGAGTGGAAAGGGCACCGATTTAGATTGGAGACCCATCTGTGACCTCCAACTCAGTTTCCTGCAGTCATGTAACTTGGTACAGTTTGTGTCATGTTTCCAAGCCTGCAGGTTTTACCTGTAAAGTGGCAACAGCAAAGCCTGTTTCCTTTTTTTTTTTTTTTTTTTTGACAGGCAGAGTGGACAGTGAGAGAGAGAGAGACAGAGAGAAAGGTCTTCCTTTACTGTTGGTTCACCCTCCAGTGGCCGCCGCGGCCGGTGCGCTGCGGCCAGTGCACCGTGCTGATCCGAAGGCAGGAGCTAGGTGCTTCTTCTGGTCTCCCATGGGGTGCAGGGCCCAAGCACTTGGGCCATCCTCCACTGCACTCCCGGGCCACAGCAGAGAGTTGGCCTGGAAGAGGGGCAACCGGGACAGACTCCGGCGCCCCAACCAGGACTAGAACCCGGTGTGCCAGCACTGCAAGGCGGAGGATTAGCCTATTGAGCCATGGCGCTGGCAAAGCCTGTTTCCTAAGGTTACTTTGGTGGGAGTTGGGTGGCAGATGAGGGAATGCACGTGCCTAGTAGCCTGGCTGCGATGAAGCAGAGCCCTTCCCTGCTCAGCACATAGCTTTTTTAATAATGTAAAGGAATACCTCAAAAGTATCCCACATTCCACATAAATAAAATCAGAGTGAGTTCACCTCTGTGTCTGCAAGAAATGAACATATCCATATCTACATCTATCTTTATAAACAGCATTATCAACAATCTACTGGCTTATCTGCCTTGTTTAAAATGTCTGTTCTCTTTTTCCAGGTATATTTAACTGGTGGTGGTGATTCCAGTTGGTATATTAAAATGATGTAGACTAGACTTCAAAAATTATTTTAAAAAGTGTATGTCTTACCCTTTGAGGATATAGTGTGCCTTTCCTGGCTTAACTTGGGCACATATATGTCAACTTAGTCTATATGGGATTTGGCAACATTTTTCATAAAAGTCCAGTTGGTACCTATTTTTTTTCAGTCACTCAATATGTTTTAAGTTTTGTAGGCCATGTAGTGTCTATCAGATCTACTCTGCTGTGCTGTAGAAGCCCAGAAGCAGCCATGGAAAGTGAATGGGCACAGCTGTGTTCCAATGAAACTTGCCGATGGATATGGAAACTTGACTTTCACATAATTTTATGTGTCATGAAATATTATCCTTTCAAGCCTTTAAAGATGTAAAAACCAGGCTTAGCTCACAAGCTATCCAAAAATAGGTGGCAGACCAAGTGTAACCCAGGGGTCATATTCTACAGCCCCCATCCCTTTACCCCTCCCCAGTCTGGAGGAAAGCCTATCAGATTTGGAGATAAAAAACTGAAGTCCTCAGGCAGCCACTTAGCTATACCATCTTGGCTTCTGACTTCTTTATCACGGGTCTCTCCTTTCTCTTGTGTAGACTGAAAACACCAGGTGAGAGTGTTTTTCAACATTCTGTGGTCAATCCTGCCAGAGTAACACCAAGGAACAAACTGAACCACACAATATTTCTGGGGAGGAGAATCTCTGGGGTAATGCTTTGGGGTGATGTTGAGGCTACCTCTTATTTGCTCTCAGAAATCAGGCTGGGAAGTTTCCAATCTGAGACCACATTACTTCTGAGAGAAGGAGTCATACCCTGGTGAGGAGACACTCTGAGATGCAGGCTTTGCCTGCTTTCCCATCAGTAGACGTATCATCAGCAGAAGAGAAGCACCTCACCCAGGTGGTCATCTATAGGGATAGTCCCCACTGGCAAACTCCTATGTATGAAGTTTGTTCCAAGAAGGTAGCTAAAGAACAAATCAAGATAAAAACTTCTTCACCATGTCCATAATCTTTCAACACTAAGATCCAAAGTCCAGAAAAACAACCTCAGCTCTGTACATTCATTGTGTTTTACTAACTATAATCTAAAAGAAAAAGTACACATACACCCCACAAGCCAACCAACCATCAGTCACTGAGGGAAAACCTGAGAGTTCAGTGCCGATCTTCTAATTCATGGTTGTATTTACCTGGAGGAAAGGAAATGCAGACAGGATATTGGGAATTTTCTCTTCTA